CCCCTCGGGCACCTTGTCTGGTCTGTACCTCCCCTCGTTCTCGACGAACTTGGTGAGTGGTGCTGACTTGCAGGATGCGGGGGTTCACCAGTTTACTCCTGCGAGTCAGCGGGTGACCCACTGCTCGGATGCCCGCACAGGCCGACACCTGGCCACGTTCTCGCGTCGGCCAGGGTCGAGTCTCTACACACTGACCACTGCGTCTCCTCCTGTCCCTGCGTCTGGCCAGGTAGCTGCGTCGGGTCAGGTGTTTGCTGCTGCGTCCAGGTCTGGTCCTGAGTCTGCCCCCTGCTCGTGTCGCCGCCTGTCTCACGAGACTCTCCTGTGGCACCACCGTCTTGGCCACCCCTCCTTGCTTCGTCTTCGGGGCATGGCTTCCCGTGTCCTTGTCTCTGGTCTTCCCCGGTCTCTCCCTCCCCTCCCTTCGGGACCCGGACCTTCTTGTGTCCCCTGTGTCGAGGGGCGGCTCCGGGCTGCCCCTCACTCCTCTCAGTTTCCCCCGACAGAGGCTCCTCTGCAGACGCTTCACATGGACGTGTGGGGCCCCGCCCGCATCCGTGGGCAGGGTCACGAGCGCTACTTCCTGCTGGTGGTTGACGACTACTCGCGTTACACCACAGTCTTCCCCTTGCGCAGCAAGGGTGATGTCACTGAGGTGTTGATCGACTGGATCCGCGCAGCTCGTCTCCAGCTCAGGAGGAGCTTCGGCTCGGACTTTCCTGTTCTGCGTCTGCACTCTGACCGAGGTGGAGAGTTCTCCTCTGGCCTTCTGCGAGCCTACTGTCGTGCACGAGGCATCCGCCAGACCTTTACGCTTCCGGACTCTCCACAGCAAAATGGGATTGCTGAGCGCCGCATTGGCATGGTCATGGACGTCGCTCGTACGTCCATGATGCATGCGGCTGCCCCCCATTTTCTGTGGCCGTTTGCGGTTCGGTACGCGGCGCATCAGATCAACCTTCACCCCAGGGTCTCCCGGCCGGAGACCTCCCCAGCTCTGCTGTGGACGGGGAAGGTCGGCGATGCGTCTGCGTTCCGTGTCTGGGGATCTCGGGCGTTTGTCCGCGACTTGTCTGCGGACAAGCTGTCCCCTCGTGCTGCTCCCTGTGTCTTCCTCGGCTTCCCCCCTGACGCTCCAGGGTGGCAGTTCTACCACCCCTCCTCTCGTCGTGTTCTGTCCTCCCAGGACGTCACGTTCGACGAGTCAGTCCCCTTCTACCGCCTCTTCCCCTACCGCACTCCTTCCCTCCCCCCGCCACCGCACTTCCTTGTGCCAGGTCCCCCCCCGGTAGACCCCCTTCCCCCTCAGGGTCCTGCCCCTTCAGGTGTGTCCCAGGTAGACGCAGTCGAGCCGGTCGAGGTTGCTGGTGACTCTGGTCCTGCTGCGGGTGCTGAGCCTGGGGGTGCTGAGTCTGGGGGTGCTGAGCCTGGGGGTACTGCGACTGGGGGTGCTGAGCCGTGGGGTGCTGCTACTGGGGGTGCTGAGCCAGGGGGTGCTGCGTCTGGAGGTGCTGAGCCTGGAGCTGCGGAGCCTGCGGCCACTGGACCTCCCCTTGTGGCGTCTGGCGGTGCGGGACCTGGCGGTTCTCCGGGTGCTTCGCCTCGGCGGGAGCCCCTCTCTCCACAGGAGCTGCGCGAGTGGTTTGCCCGGCGCTGGAGGCGTGCTGCTGGAGCTGGAGGTTCTTCGGCTGCTGAGGGTGCTGGTGCCGCGGGTCCCGGAGGTGCTGGAGCTGGAGCTGCTGAGGGCGTTGGCGCTGAGGCTACTGCTGTCGGTCCTGGAGGCGGTCCTGCTGGGGGTGCTACTGGTGCTGCTGGAGGTCCTGGAGCTGGAGGTGCTACTGGCGCTGGTGCTGCCGCTGGGGGTACTGGTGCTGTCCCTGCTGTGTCTGGAGTCGCCGCGCGGCCTAGACCGTACTTCGTTCCGCTCCTTCAGCAGGTTCTTGGTCTCCCGCCTTCTACTGGTCCTCCTCCTCCCTTAGAGTGTCCACAGCCTGTCCTGTCACAGTTACAGTTACAGCCGGCCTCCCCACTGCCCGCTCCTTCTCCCTACACTGGTCCTACTGGAGGTCTTGCTGAGCGTCGTGAGCCTGCGTCTCGCCCTGCGTCGCCTGTCCGTGCTGCTCGCACTAGTGGTCGTGGTTCGCGTCAGCGTCCTCCTCCTGTCCCTGGCACGCACCGGATGTCTCTGCGTCCGTCCACTGCTCCTCTGCGTGCCCCTTTGCCTTCTCCTCCTGAGTCCTCTCTTCCTGCTCTTCCTGACCCGGAGTCGGACTCTCTTCGTGCTGCCAGTCCTGCTGTCACACGTCTCCTTGCTACTGTCGTCACTGACCCCTCTTTTGTGTCCACTGCTGCGTCTGCGCTTGTTGCTGAGCTCGTCGACTTTGCTGCTCGCTGTCGTCTAGACTACGCTGCCGGTCTTGTTGCTGAGTCTGCTTCTGTCTGTCCTCCGTCCGTCGGGGGTGAGTGTGCTCTTGGCACGGACGTCCTTGAGGACAGGCAGGAGGAGTTCAGGTGTCTGGCTGCTGCTTCACCTCATCTCGCGTCCGTACTGCTTGCCCCTGAGGGAGACCCGGATGCACTAGACATCCCGACTCCGCGCTCTTACGCGGAGGCCGTAGAGGGTCCCTACTCCTCTCAGTGGCAGGCAGCTATGGATGCAGAGATGGCGTCCTGGAAGTCCACAGGCACCTACGTTGACGCGGTTCCCCCTCCTGGGGCGAACATCGTCAGTGGCATGTGGATCTTCAGGGTGAAGCGGCCGCCGGGCTCTCCACCTGTCTTCAAGGCGCGGTACGTCGCTCGTGGCTTCAGTCAGCGGCAGGGAGTTGACTACTTTCAGACCTTCTCTCCCACCCCGAAGATGACCACTCTTCGGGTGCTGCTGCACATAGCCGCTCAGCGCGACTACGAGCTCCACTCTCTTGACTTCAGTACTGCTTTCTTGCAGGGTAGCCTGCACGAGGAGATCTGGCTGCGCCGTCCACCTGGCTTCACTGGGACTTTTCCTCCTGTCACCCAGTGGAGCCTCCGACGGCCAGTCTACGGTCTCCGCCAGGCACCGCGTGAGTGGCACGACACACTGAGGACTACGCTTGCGGCTCTTGGGTTTGCTCCCTCTACTGCTGACCCGTCGTTGTTTCTGCGCACCGACACTTCTTTGCCGCCGTTCTACGTCCTCGTGTACGTCGACGACTTGGTCTTTGCCACAGCTGACACTGCTGGACTAGCCTACGTGAAGTCCGAGCTGCAGAAGAGACACACGTGCACAGACCTGGGTGAACTGCGCAGCTACCTTGGCTTGCAGATCACTCGGGACAGAGCACGCCGCACCATTACCTTGACTCAGTCACACATGGTGCAGCAGGTCCTTCAGCGCTTCGGCTTCACGTACTCCTCGCCTCAGGCCACTCCTCTGTCTACTCGCCACTCGCTCTCAGCTCTGCCTTCGGATGAGTCCGTAGAGTCGAGTGGCCCGTACCCAGAGCTTGTTGGCTGCCTCATGTACCTGATGACCTGCACACGACCTGACCTTGCATACCCTCTTAGCATTCTTTCACGCTATGTTGCTCCTGGGAGACACCGACCAGAGCACATGGCTGCAGCGAAGAGGGTGTTGCGCTACTTGTGCAGTACGTCGGGCATGGGGCTAGTGCTTGGAGGGCGGAGTCCAGTGGTCCTCACTGGGCACGCGGACGCTTCTTGGGCAGACGACCAGGCTACACAGCGGTCGTCGCAGGGTTACACCTTCAGTCTTGGTTCCGGCTCTGTCTCGTGGCGGGCTACTCGCTCGTCCTCTGTTCTCAGCTCCAGTTGTGAGGCTGAGATCTACGCCGGGGCCATGGCTGCACAGGAGCTTCGCTGGCTCACCTACCTGCTGACTGACCTTGGAGAGCCGCCTCGTTCTCCTCCAGTGTTGTACGTAGACAACAAGGCCATGCTGGCCTTGTGTCGAGAGCAGCGCTTGGAGCACAGAACGAAGCACATTGCTCTCCGTTACTTTCTTGCTCGTGAGCTGCAGCAGCGTGGTCAGTTGCGACTTGCGTACGTGGCCTCTGAGGCCAACACTGCTGATGTGTTCACCAAGGCACTTGCGCCTTGTGACCATCAGCGCTTCTGCACCCAGCTGGGTCTTGTACCTGTCTTGCCTCACTTGCTCTCTTCTTGACCTTGCTTGTACTGTCACATATATATACCTGCTCTTGCTTGTCTAGCTCTATATATATATGTGTACTCCTGCATGTGAACTGGCCCTGTTGCCCTGTCGTTGTGCTCGGACTGTGTGGTGACTTTGTGATCCACCCTGAGCTTGCTCTGCTTTGCTTGACTGGTCTTGTGACCCCTTGTTCTCCCCCACTTTGCCTATGGGGGTGTGTCAGAACATATATATAGCTTATGCTGTTGTGTAGGCTATAGTGGGGTATCCCATAGGGGGTACAACACAATTAGGGTTTCCCATATGTACTCACTTCATTCATAGTTCACTCATCCTCGTTCTACTTTTCTCATGCACACAACGCAACTGCAGCACATCCTTAGCAGCCCATACATTGGCATCACATGCGACGAAAGCACGGACAGGTGTCGGGGAAAGCACATGATTGTTTTCGCGACATTCATCCGTGACAATCATCCCGTCACTGAATTTCTTGCCCTGCTGACCGTGGAGAAGGGTGATGCAGCCTCTCTACTCTCAGTGCTGCTGTCCCACCTGCAGGCCCTTGGCATTGAGCTGGCTAGGATATCCGGCATAAGCACTGACGGAGCGAGTGTGATGATGGGGAAACACAACGGCCTGGTCGCGCGACTTCGCCTCAAAATCCCGCATCTCGTGTCGAGCCACTGCATCGCCCACAGGTCAGTTTTTACATTGTGTTTCCTGCAACCCTAGAGTACCTGCAGCACCCCGTGCTAATCCCTCCTTGAGCTGGTTTGTTTGATGTTGTGCATGCAGGGAGGCGCTTGCAGCAAAGGACGCCGCTGAACAACTCCCCGCGTTCGGGATGGTGGACTCCCTGATCCGCCAAGTGGCTGAGCATTTGGGGCGTTCTGGCCCGTGGCATCAACGGTTCATTGGCCTGCAGGAGGTCTTCACGAAAACGAACCTGGAGCTACAAGGGATCCACGACGTCCGCTGGCTCTCCCGCGGTGACGCCATTCTGCGCGCGGTAGAGGTCTTCCCCGCGCTGATCGTGATGCTGTATGAGTGGGACAGCACCCTGTACGAGCTCGGCACGAGCTACATGTTTCACTTTCTGCTATATTTCCTAGCAGACGTGCTCGAGCAGCTCAATGTGCTGAACAGGGCATTCCAGCAGCGTGAGGTGAGCATGGTTACGATCAACCCTTTGTTATGTGCCTTGTTGTTGTTGTTTGGGCTCCACTGGTTGGTGTTTCTACCTCAGCACTGATTTGGTCTTCCTTCCACCCTCTGTTTTCCCTGTTGACCCCCAACAGCTGGACATTGCTAGTGTTCACGGGCAGATCCGCCGGTCCATCTCATTCCTCGAGTCCCGCTACGTCGACTGCGGTGACGACTTTGGAGGCGGGAATAGCGCGCGCCTCTCGCCGTTCATCAAGAAGCACGGACCTGAGTGGGGCAATCCCGAGGTGAAGGTGCAGGGAGTCGACTCGGACGGGCGGCCCACTACACACACCTTTGAGCTGCACGAGAAACCGAGCGACGAGTACCCGACTCTCGGCTCTCACGACGCCTGTGTCGATCTCTGCACCACCTTCGCAGAGACGCTTGTGCAAAACCTCAGCACACGGTTCAAGGACCTGGACTCCCTGGTGGGGGTGCGGCTGTTAATGCCTGACGAGTGGGAGCCGGGGAGAGCGGAGCGCCACAAGCAGTGTCTCGAGTGGCTCGAGTCTCTCGTGAGGCTGTTCAGGGCACAGGACACGGACTACATCATTCCAGGTATTCCCGCTCTCGCACTGTTGCTGTCTGTGATGATGGTTATTGCATGTTATCACTGTATGATGTACGACTATGCCAGCCTTTCTAATTCCCCGTCTCTCTCCCGTCCGCCTTATGTGGCAGGGGTCGACAAGCGGCGTGCGATCAAGGAGTTGCGTGCCTTCTGCCCCATCCTTGCAGGTGCCCCGAAGAACGAGCGCAGCTTCCACGCCGGCCTAACAGCAATGCTGAAGACAAGCGATTGGGCGACTAGCTACCCCAATCTCGTGCGTCTCTAAGTGGCTGTCGCCGTGCTGCCGCTGAGCACAGTGGAGTGTGAGCGCGGCTTCTCACGGCAGAACATTATCAAATCATGGCAGCGGGGGAGCTTGAAGGACGCCCGCCTCGAAGACCTCGTCACTATGTCACTTCTCGAGTACGAGCCCAACTACGATGAGGTGGTGCAGATCTGGTGCAGCTACAAGAAGCGCCGCCCATTCGGCAATGTGGCGGCACCACCAGCAAGAGAGGGGGAGGGCAGTGGTAGCAAGGGAAAGGAGGCCATAGAGGAGGAGGAGATGGAAGGACGACAGGTCAAGGGAAGAGATGATGATGATGACAAGCAAGCATCATCTGATGATGATTACTGAAATCTCCCAGTCATGCTTGATGCCTCCTTGCATAGCTTGCTAGCTAGCTAGCTAGATAGGCTTTGGTAACTGGTTTACAACACATATAGATAGATTGAAGGCAGATTGCTTGCTTCCTAGTGTTTTTAACTTAAAATAAAGACAATTACTAGTATCAGCCTTTTCCTGTAGGGGACACTGATGCATCAGACTTTTTTTAACTGTAACAATGAACTTTCAGACTTTTTTTCTAGGCGACCCTGATGATCAGGGTCTAGGGGCAGAGGGACCCTGATACCCTTACGTGCCTCAAAGTGAATTTGAGGGCCTGGTACATTCCCTTATTACAGCAAATTCAAACCGTGCGGCGCGGGAACCCGTTTTGAACCTGTTCCCGCTCTTTTCACTTCAAATGTTTCTGCCTGCGTCGGTCTTGGTCAGACGGTTGCTGCGTCGCTTCGACTCTTCTGACTCCTCGACTTCGTACTCGGTAGAGTCGGCTCCTGTAGCATACAGGAATGCCTTCTCATGAAACTTCATATCGTAACACTCCCCTTCATTCCTGGGCGCGGGAGGAGCTGACTCGCTTGACTACTCCGGTGAGGTCAGTGTTAAGAACTAAGACTAGGCAAGAATGATGAGATTAGGTCAAGGTTGGGGTACAAGACTAGAGTGTTGAGAAAGTTTATGTACCCCCTAGTGCTAACCCCCATACAGCCTAGATAACCTAAACATATATATATAATTTGACACACCCCCATAGGCGAAATGGGGGATAGCCAGAGCAAGCAACGGTCACAAGACCAGTCAAGAGAAGAAACAAAACACAGCTCAGGGTGGATCACAACGTCACCACGCAGTCTGAGCACAAGCAAAAAGCCACAAGGCCAGTTCACATGCAGAGATATATACGTAACAACAACAGCACAGTGATCTCTACCTACCAGAGCAAGCATGCAGGTATATATATAGATCACAGTACAAACAAAGCCTACAGCAAGTGAGGAAACGTGGGCACAAGGCCTAACAAAGTACAGAAACGCTGATGATCACCAGGCGGAAGTGCCTCGGTGAATATATCAGCAGTGTTGGCCCGAGTGGCCACGTAAGCAAGACGAAGCTGACCACACTGCTGTAGCTCTCGAGCAAGGAAGTAACGCAGAGCGATGTGCTTCGTTCTGTGCTCCAGTCTGTGCTCCTCACACAAGGCAATGGCGGCCTTGTTGTCGACGTACAGCACTGGAGGAGAACGAGGCCTCTCTCCCAAGTCGGTCAGCAGGTAGGTGAGCCAGCGTAACTCCTGTGCCGCCATGGCTGTGGCGTAGATCTCAGCCTCACAACTGGAGCTGAGAACTGAAGACGAGCGTGTAGAACGCCAAGAAACCGAACCAGAGCCAAGGCTAAAGGTGTAACCCTGTGACGACCGCTGCGTAGCCTGGTCGTCAACCCAAGAAGCGTCTGAGTGCCCAGTGAGGACAACGTCTCTCCGTCCTCCAAGCACGAGCCCCATGCCCGATGTACTGCACAAGTAGCGTAGTACCCTTTTAGCAGCATCCATGTGCACCTTTCGGTGCCGACCAGGAGCCACGTAGCGAGCCAGAAGGCCAAGAGGGTACGCAAGGTCAGGACGAGTGCAGGTCATCAGGTACATGAGGCAGCCCACCAGCTCTGGGTAAGGACCACTCGGCTCTACGGACTCGTCCGAAGGTGGAGCTGAGAGCAAGTGACCTGTAGCCAGAGGAGTGGGCTCTGCCGAGGACCAGGTGAAGCCGAAGCGCTGAAGGACCTGTTGCACCATGTGTGACTGAGTCAGTGTGATGGTGCGGCGTGCTCTGTCCCGGGTGATCCGCAAGCCAAGATAGCTTGTCAGCTCACCCAGGTCTGTGCACGTGTGTCTCTTCTGCAGCTCCGACTTCACCAGGGCGAGAGCCTCAGTGTCAGCAGTGGCAAAGACCAAGTCGTCGACGTACACGAGGATGTAGAACGGCGGCAGTGAAGTGTCGGTGCGCAGAAACAGCGACGGGTCAGCAGTCGACGGAGAAAACCCAAGAGCCGCAAGTGTCGTCCTCAGTGTGTCGTGCCACTCACGCGGCGCCTGGCGGAGACCGTAGACCGGCCGCCGGAGGCTCCACTGGGTACCAGGAGGGAACGACCCAGTGAAGCCAGGTGGGCGGCGCAGCCAGATTTCCTCGTGCAGGCTGCCCTGTAAGAAAGCTGTGCTGAAGTCAAGAGAGTGAAGCTCGTAGTCACGCTGGGCGGCAATGTGCAGCAGCACCCGAAGAGTGGTCATCTTCGGGGTGGGGGAGAAGGTCTGGAAGAAGTCAACCCCCTCTCGCTGACTGAAACCTCCAGCAACGTAACGAGCCTTGAAGACAGGCGGAGAACCTGGCGGCCGCTTCACCCTGAAAATCCACATGCCACTGACGATGTTCGCCCCAGGAGGGGGAACCTCGTCGACGTAGGTGCCTGTGGAATTCCAGGATGCCATCTCTGCATCCATGGCTGTCTGCCACTGAGAGGAGTACTCACCCGCGATCGCCTCAGCGTAAGAGCGCGGGGTCGGGATGTCTGGTGCATCCGGGTCTCCCTCAGGGGCAAGCAGCATGGACACAAGATGAGGCGCAGCGGCTGCAAAACACTCAAGGTCCTCGTGCCTGTCCTCAAGGACGTCCGTGCCAAGAGCACACTCACCCCCGACGGACGGAGGACAGACAGACTCAGACTCAGCAACAAGACTAGCAGCGTAGTCTAGACGACAGGCAGCAGCAAAGTCAACAAGCTCAGCGACAGAGGCAGACGCTGCAGCAGACTCAAACGACGGGTCAGTGACAACAGTGGCTAGCAGACGCGTGACAGTAGGGTGCTCAGCACGAAACCGGTCAGACTCAGGGTCTGGAACAACAGGCAGAGAAGACTCCGGAGGGGATGGCAGAGGAACACGCTGCGGAGGAGAGGAAGGACGACGGACTACAAGGGAAGGACCGGGGACAGCCGGCGGACGCTGACGAGGAACACGACGACTGGAACGACCAGAACGGACAGGTGAGACAGGACGCGACGCAGGCTCACGACGCTCAGTAACGCCCCCTGTCTGCTCAGCGTAAGGAGAAGGAGCAGGCAGAGGTGAGCCAGGCTGTAACGGAAGACCAGTAGACGACGGGAGGCTAAGAACCTGGCGAAGTACGGAGTCAGGCGGTGGCAGAGACGACGGAGACGGTGGAGCAAAGAACAGGCGCGGCTGTGCAGTGCCACCAGCACCAGCAGCTCTAGCACCCGCAGCAGCTCCAGCACCTCCAGCAGCTCCAGTACCCTCAGCAGCTCCAGCACCTCCTGCAGCTCCAGCACCCTCAGCAGCTCCAGCACCTCCAGCAGCTCCAGCACCCTCAGCAGCTCCAGCACCTCCAACAGCTCCAGCACCCTCAGCAGCTCCAGCACCCTCAGCAGCTCCAGCACCCTCAGCAGCTCCAGCACCTCCAGCAGCTCCAGTACCCTCAGCAGCACCCCCAAAACCGGCACCTCCAGTCCCAGGGTCTCCAGCCTCCGTGTCTCCAGCAACATCACCCCCAGACCCAGGGTCTCCAGCAGTAGCACCCTCAGGCTCAGCAGTACCTCCAGCCCCAGCAGCTCCAGCACCTCTAGTGCGAGCACCTCCGGGACCAGCACCACTCCCAGCTCCAGTGGTGTCAGCAGAAGTACCTCCAGCGGCAGAGCCCCGAGCTCCAGAAGCACGACCCTGACGGCGACCGTACCCGTCGTGCAGCTGCTGTGAGGTGAGAGGCACACGCGTACGAAGGCGGCTACTCCAAGGAGACCGCGCAGGAGCAGACTCAGAACCCTCAGGCGTCGCACCCCCAGACTCAGCACCCCCAGGCTCAGGACCTCCAGGCTCCTCACGCTCAGGCTCAGCACCCCGAGACTCCGCACCCCCCGGCTCAGCACCCTCAAGCTCCGCACCCCCAGACTCAGTACCCCCAAGCTCCGCACCCCCAGGCTCAGCACCCCCAAAGACAGCACCACCCCCAGTAGGACCTGAGTCACCAGTGACCTCAACAGGCGCAGGCACGGGAGGGTCTACCTGAGAAACACCTGAAGGAGCAGGACCTGGCGCGGGGAGGGGGTCTACCTGGGGAGGACCTGGGGCGAGAAAGAGCGGCGGGGGGGGGCGAGGAGCAGTGCGGTAGGGAAAGAGACGGTAAAAGGGGACGGACTCGTCAAAGGTGACGTCCTGAGACGGAAAGACACGGCGCGAGGCGGGGTCGTAAAACTGCCAGCCAGGCGCGTCAGGGACAAAGCCAAGGAAGACGCAAGGAATGGCGCGAGCGGAGAGCTTGTCCGCGGTGGTATCGCGGACAAAGGCACGAGCACCCCAGACCCGGAAACGCGACGCATCGCCAACCTTCCCCGTCCACAGCAGTGTGGGCGAGGTCTCCGGCAAGGAGACACGGGGCCAGAGGTTGAGCTGATGCGCGGCGTACCGGACCGCAAACGGCCACAGAAAATGGGGGGCAGCCGCATGGATCATGGAGGTACGAGCGACCTCCATGACTAAGCCAATGAGGCGCTCAGCAATCCCATTCTGCTGCGGAGAGGCCGGAAGCGTGAACGACTGGCGGATGCCGTGCTCCGCACAGTAGGCTGCCAAGAGGTCTGAGGAGAACTCACCACCTCTGTCAGAGTGCAGACGCAGGACAGGAAAGTCCGACTGGAACCGCTCGCGGAGCTGGAGACGAACAGCGCGGATCCAGGGGATCAAAACATCAGGGACCTCCCCCTTGCTGCGCAAGGGGAAGACCGTGGTGTAACGCGTGTAGTCGTCGACGACCAGCAGGAAGTACCGCTCGTGGCCCTGTCCACGGACGCGGGCTGGGCCCCACACGTCCATGTGGAGAGTCTGCAGGGGAGCCTCTGTGGGAGGAAACGAGGAGGAGTGAGGAGCGGCGCGCTGCCGAGGGCGGCGCAGGCGAGGGAGGGAGGGTAGGCAGAGACCTGGGAAGGCCAGAAACCAAGTAGCGAGAGTGCAT